CGATAAATTTGAAATAATAACCTTTGTCGTTGAAGAGTTTACTTATTCGGTAATCGTTAAATGGGAGTCTCTAAACACTCCCATTTCATTTTCCGATTTCAAAATATTGAGTAGTGATTTGACTCGGGTGGAGATGTTTTAGACAGGTCAAATCACTAATTTTTAAACTTTCGAAATACGCCTCCTAATGATCAGTATTACACGTGTGTCACTTTTCGCGGGTCAGTTTAGTGTTAAAGACTGAGGCAACTGTGTGATACTTTGTTTAAAACTTGCTTCTCGTAAAAAAATCGTATCGGTATTATTTAAGGGGATAGTATCAAGAGCATAATAGTCTAGAGTATTTAATAGTTCAAGTTCACTTGTCTCTTCTACAGTATCGTATCGAATCGAATTATTTTAAAAGTATAAAGAATCCAGTGTTTCAAAGATGGGTTATGTGGAAAATTAAGATATTTTAGTATATCTAAACATACATTATAGCGGTTTCTATCCATTAAGCAACGATTATTTTTTTCTCTTATTAAGATAAGTTTCTAGAATATGTTCAAAAGATTCTCGTGAAACAAAAATTTGTAATCTAGTGATTCCGTATTATAAATGACGAAAGAAAAATGAAACACTTTTTATTTTCTTATCGATAAATACAGTACATTGCAAATCGTTGTCAAACATAAACTTTTATGAGGCATTAAATTTCCAATCGGTGGGGATTAGGGTGTCCAGGATTATGCTACTAGCATAATTTAGCATAATTTATATTTGCTAGCATAATAATTTGGTATTTTGATAATAGAATATTATTAAAATTGCCAAACAACTAAAGTCTATCAAAACTGTAACTTTAGCTATTATATATGTAAAACATTTTGAATCAAATTACTGAAATTGTTAAATAATTACTTACCACGCAAAAATCTATATATATATATTTTTTTAAATTACTTATTTTTTATAATATTATATTTATACTAAACACTAATTTTTTAGTATTGCATCTTTTATTCTATTAGATTTTCAGTTGTTAACCAAACAATAAAAATTTTAATTTCTTTAACTAGACTTCCATAAATGTTGAATAAAAAATCTTATTAAATTCCTGTTTATTTTGATTTACAAATTAATAGAATTCTAAAATAATCTTTAAAATGCTGATCATTATTGAGATCCCTTAAAGTTCGAAAACACATAGATAATATATTTTCATAGAAATATCATATATTTTGCACTTTTAAAAGCCCGATTTCTAGATTCAGTATGGTGTATATTTGCTAATGACAGTAATTTGAAAATATACGTAGTAATTCAAAAAAATTTTTTTTAAAAAACCCCGTTACATAAAAAGCATAGTTCAATACAATTATGCAAGCATAATTTGGCATAATTAATAGCATAATTCTGGACATCCTAGTGGGGATTAGAATTTAAAATGACTCATAATATAAATTCACTTCTCCAAGTTCTTCAAGATTTTGTTGGTTTGAATGTCGGGATAATCTCTGCTTAATACCAGCCTGTCTCAATGAAATTACGTTATTTATGGGGACCACATCCAGTAAAGGATAATCAGAAATTTCCAATGGTTCAAGTTCACTTGCCGAATACCAGTTTTCTAGTGTTCCGAATTGGCAAGCAACTTGATACGAGTCACGGTTGAGTATTTTTTGGATAATCTTGCAGGGTAAAGATCGACGGTCCATTCTTTGCCTATCAAAACTCGGAGTATAAATCTTCACCAATTCACCGGGTTTAAACATTCGGTCACGTTTGGTTCTATATTTTTGCTGCATTCTAGTTTGAATAAAATCGCGATTTCTTTGAATATTTAAAATAGCTGAATGATGAATCGGTTTACGCTGTTTAAATGTTGGACGAGTTATATTTTGATATATTACTTAATGATACCCGTTGTTATCAATTATAATACACAAGTTAATATATCTATTATTTTATACCTTATGACCAGATTTATCAATATCAGGATATGCCCGCCATTTTTCTTTTTCTTGTGCAGCATAACGTCGATCTTTACCAGAATCGTTATCAGAATCGTCAATAATGATAATTTCTTTACTATTAATTCGTGCTTCAGGATAATCTTGAAGAAAATTATTCTGTATATTCACTTCATCATCCATATTGCTATACATTTCTTTATCCTTATGAAATAGTATTTAGAAGACCTCCACATTGTGATGCGAATTTGACTAATTTATTTGAAAACAATAACTATTTCTATCCACCAATTGAAAAGTCGAGTCCATCTCTAGTTTCTGAAACTGATTCTCCATCGACCATTAGATCAGAATTGAACTATGATGTAGAAAGTTCTGAAATTGATCCATTTTATTTTGAAGAACCGTGGCAAGGTAATAGTGATGTGAATAGTAATGCAGATGAAGAAACGTGGCAAGACAATAGTGATGTGAATAGTAATGCAGATGAAGAAACGTGGCAAGGCAATAGTGATGTGAATAGTAATGCAGATGAAGAAATAAATAGTGTGAGTATAAATTTTAATAATGTTTATTAATATTTATTTGTTAAAATATAAATTTAGAATAAATTAATTAATGCACTAATCGATTATATCAAATTATAGGATGTGTGTATAAATTTCAATAATATTTATTAATATTTGTTGAATTATAATTTTATAATGAATTAATCAATGCACTAATCGA